TGGTGTCTCACTGTCACCCAGACTGGAGTGCAGTGGCATGCTCCTGGCCACTGCAGCTTCAACCTGCTGAGCTACAGCGATCCTTCCACCTCAGCCTTCCAAGTGGCCGGAACTACAGCAGGCTAATTTTTTATTTTATTGTAGAGATGAGGTCTTGCCAAGTTGCCCGGCTGGGTCTCGAACCCGTGGGCTCAGGCAATCCACTCGCCTCAGCCTCCCAAAGTGCTGGGATTAAAGGCTGAGCCACCAAACCCAGCCCATTTCTACTTTTCAAAGTGAGTTCCTGAGAAGAAAGTGGTCCCTTGTTTAAAATTGTTTCCTTTTGGAGCAAGAAAGAAGAAACTGATTTCTTTTTTCAAAATAGTGGACACGAGAAAGTGTTAAAGAAAAAAGTGAGCGTGGCTCAAGGTGGTCTCAGGACGTGACCTGCAAACCCTGCAGTTCCAGGTGCTTCTTCTAACGGCTCAGAAGGAAGCATGCTTTCACCCTCTGCTTCCATTTCTTTTAGTACTTTTTTATTACTCAACACACCTCTTATAGCAACAAATAGGAAGAACTGTTTCAAAGGTCAGTTTTATTCCTCCCACTGGTAACTACAGTCTAGTTTTCCCCCCTTATCTACAGAAACCATGAAAACACCCATGAGTCAAGGCATTTAAATAAAGAATCAATACAGAGATCCAAAGACAAGGACTGTATAGGAGTGACGGGATAGTGACCACATATGCGAGAACATGGCTTGTTCTCACACAACAGAGAAGCTGGGCCTTCTCATGCAGCCACACAGAGGCTCACAGGCCAGCTCTATGTGTCTGATTTCCTGGCAGGAGCAGAGGAACACAGCAGTGCCACAGCGCTATGCCTCTGGTCTTTCCTATTTGCAAAACCTATGACTCCATCATTTTCTATTCTTTAAATGATTAGGTCCTAGAAAATGGCAGGTTGTATTTTGCTCAGGGAGCAAAACAGCGATACAACCTGAAATTCTTCTAACTAATTTAAGACTACAATTCCCTCCCTGAAGGGGGTCAAACGAGTACTTTGTGTCCAACCACAACTTTTGCTGCGGGTCTGATGCATACTCGGATTATGTCAAACAACACGATGAGCATTTAGTTACTTTTCCAGCTGTCTCAGCCTTTGCCGCAGCTCCTGGGTGGCGATGGGCAGTGATATGTCTGAGGCAATGCTGGGCGTGGGCTCCTTGGCTGAGATGTGGCTTGGGGAGGCAAGGAGGCTGGAGGAACTTCTCCCTAGGTCGCGCGGCCCCTGAGGACCAGCCTCATGGGGCTGGGCCTTCTCTTCCACACCAGGCTTATCACTACTCCCAATGATGGGTGTGGATGGTGCAGTGTGGCTGCCACCAGGGCCCGGAGACACAGACATCTGAGATTTGATGGATGTTTTCCTCCCCTCTTTGGAAACAGAGGGTCGTTTTACTTTAGCTGAGTGTTGGTAGTCTGGAGGTCTCGTCTGCTTTTCAAGATGGAGCACCTAGAGGTGGAGAGAAACATAGAAATGAAAACTGTTGACAATGGTAGATCCTGATGCTGGAACAGCCTGGGATGTATTCATTTGCAAATGTTTCTTGAAAAACTTGGCTCAAAACTTTTAAAAAAATCTAGTCTATCTAGCCAGTTATTCAATTATTAAAGTAGTAATATGTTGCAGAAAGTTTACAAAAAGAAAAGCTAAAGTAATCAAAATATTACTTCTTTAACACAAACACCATCTCTTTCTCTCTCTTTCTCTAGAGACAGGGTCTCACTCTTTTGCTGAGGCTGGAGAACAGTGGCTACTCATAGGTGCGATCACAACTCCAGCAGCCTCTAGCTCCTGGTCTTATGCAATCTTCCCACCTCAGCCTCCCAAGTAGCTGGGACTATAGGATCGTGTCAACATGCACAGTCAAACACCACTTCTGTGCTTTCATCTTGACTCTCCATTTGCACACATTTCTACACAGTTGTGGAACATTTTCACTGAATCACATGCCCTTGACAGAAGACTAAATCCCTTATTCTATACAGGTAGTTTCTACCAGGAACCCCTAGAGAAAGGAAGAAAATCCAGAGCCCCTGCTATCCAGCAAGATCACCCCCAAGTCAGGCACAAGTTGAGAAGCAGGGGGCAGCTTCATAGCCCACATGTCGTTCTGCTATGAGAGCACGTGACTGGTCACTGTGCTAGCTTTAGTCTACACAGCATTCCACTGAGCAGAGTCTACTCTTCACAAGCCCTTCCACTCTGGGTGACTGACGACTTAAAGTTTTTTTCTGGTTTTATGAAGCAAAGCTGCAGTAAATGTCTTGATGTTTGTGGCCTCTTGACACTTTGTATTATTACTAAAAGACAGATTTCTGGAAAAAGGGACTTGGATCCTTGGATTTACAACCTGGGGACGCTGTGATTCCTTCTAGAGAGCATGTGGTGATAAGCCCCATCCGGGCCAGGTGCAAAGAGACTTTTCCACAGCACCCTCAACAGACATCTGCTTTAATTTTTTAAAGAAGTTGGCTCTTAATTTTAATTTGCATGTTTTTGATTAGTGAATTTTAGCACTTCCCTGTGTGTTTGCCAGTTTTCTCTTCAATACTTCCCTGTGTGTTTGCCAGTTTTCTCTTCAATATTTCCTTAGGTATTTACAAATGAATCACCATCTGTTTTGGACAAAAAAAGTGTTTTCTGTACGTTCTACTCTCTTGTATAGTTTTATTAATTTCTCTCTCCTGGTCGGACATGGTGGCTCATACCTGAAATCCCAGCGCTTTGGGAGGCTGAGGTGGGAGGACTGCTTGAGGACAGAAGTCTGAGACTAGCCTGGGCAACACAATGAGACCCTGTCTTTACCAAAAAAATTCTCTCTCCTGAACAACCTTTGAAAACAACCTTAGGAGAAAACTTTGTTGATACAGATAGTAATGCTTTCTTGGCCAAAGGATAAAAAAAATAGTTGGCTGGGTTCATGCAAAAGCATCAAAAGTTACTGTGGGCCTCCTCAAACATTCTGGAAGCATCGCTTCAGTTCTAGGTCTGAGTCCTAGCCCCCATCACTTTTTCCTGAGCCCCCTTGCTCCCAGCATTAGTGTCTTCTCCCTACAATGACTCCCTTGTCACAGTCCCTGGCATCACAGCCACCACCTGTCTGTCCATGAGCATCACTGCCATCACCTGTCTTTCCACTGTTACTGTGTTTATTGTAGAAGACAATACTATACCCTGAGGGCAATCTTCATCTTCAAGGTGCTGTTTGGACCTGAGTTACTGAGCTGGAACCGCTGACTCATAGTCATGTCATCACTGGTGAGCAGCTGGCTGAGGGGGACCTTCAGGCTCCCCAGAGAACACTGGTGCTGCTCGTCTTTGACCTGCAAAACACAGAACAGAAACACATGAGCTCTGAGGAAAGAGTCAGAAACTGAGAAAATGCAGAAAAGTCAACATTAGTCTGTAAAAAAAATAATGTATTAAAATAAAATTTTAAAAAATTCCCAACCACATTTTAGACATATTCTTTTTAGTGTTTCCACAAATGATTAGCATGGTATAAAACCTTCTCAGGAAGACACAAACACTGTAACAAGCAAAGTATCTGTTATACATATCTGTCACCTCCTCATTATAAAATTAAAATGAGCACAACAGAGAAAACAATGTTTTATGAATCTGTGAGGAGAACTTTGAGTTAACAGCCTATACAAATGTAAATATTTAAAAGAAATATTTTAACTCCTGTGAAAATGGTGGCAATATACATTTGAAATAATGTACAAAGTTCCTACTGATGACATTTATGGAGAAAACACATTTCTAAGCATTTTTTAAACCTTCCTTATTCAAAATATGCATTAAAAAATTATATCTGGTCAGGTGCAGTGGCTCACCTCTGTAATCCCTGCACTTTGGGAGGCTGAGGTAGGAAGACTGCTTGAGCCTAGGAGTTTGAGACCAGTCTAGGCAACGGAGCAAGACCTCGTCTCTTCAAAAAATAAAAAAATTAGCTGCGTGTGGTGACGTGTACCTCTAGTCCTAACTACTTGGGAGGCTGAGGTGGAAGGATTGCCTGAGCCCAGAAGGTCGAGGCTGTGGAGAGCAGTGATTGTGCCACTGTACTCTAGACTGGGTGAAAGAGTGAAACCCGACTCAAAAAAAAAAAAAAAAAAAATAACACTGTCTTCTTTAAATGCATGGCAAGTTATTCTTCCTGAATAACCACCTTCAGCATTATCTCTGTAACAGAAATTATAACCATTAGATCATTTGTAATACAGAACAGTATAATCAAATAGAGCAAGAATTCTGAAAGTTTCATAGATAGGCTATATGAAAATGGTCAGAAAAATTAACACATAACTACGCAGGAAAACCTAAAAACCTAACTGCTTATGTCTTTTTAAACTATAATCACAAAAGCAATTTTTTTTTTTTTTTTTTTGAGTTGGGAGTCTCACTCTGTCACCCAGACTGGAGTGGCCACTGCAGCCTTGACTTGCTGGGCTCCGGCAATCCTTCCGCCTCAGCCTTCCAAGTAGCTGGAATTACAGGCGTGTGCTACCACACCCGCCTAATTTTTGATTTATTGCAGAGATGAGGTCTCACCAAGTTGCCCAGGCGGGTCTTGAACCCACAGGCTCAGGCAATCCACTCACCTTGGCCTCTCAAAGCACTGGGATTACAGGCTGAGCCACTGAGCCTGGCCACAAAAGCATTTTTAAATAAAATAACTATGACAATGTTTACAGATTCCTAAAAGTTATGTTTAAAAATCCAAGATCTATTAAGTACAGATTATTTGAAGAATACAGTAGTGCACTTTATAAAGAATATATTAGCTAGACAAAATACACATCTTTTTGTATAAAACAAAGTGTAAAAATGTAAAACAACACACACAGACTAATGGGACAGGGCCTGGTGAGCTCGGCATGCCCAGGGCTCTGTTGTGCTCATATAAGCCTAGCCATTTATGTACCTTTAATAGAGGATCAAGATGCATGAAGTGAAAATGGAGACTGAAAGAGGAAAAAAGACAAATTCACAATTACATTCAGAGGTTTAAATACCATGCTCTTATTATCTGACCTAACAAGCAGACCAAAAAATGTCAAGGATGCAGAGGACCCAAGTAATGCTACTAACCACCCTGACCTACTGACATTCACAGAACACTCACCAATAACAGACAAGCATGCTCTGCAGGTGCACACAGACTATGTGCCAAGACCAACAAGGCTCTGGGTCACAAGGCCAGACTCAAATGAATTCAAGTCACACAATGAATGAAATTAGAATCCATAACAGAAAGATCCAAATAAGTTCCTGAACGCTAGAAATTAGAATCCATAACAGAAAGATCCAAATAAGTTGCTGAACACTAGGAAACTAAATGACTGACCTTTAAATAAACAATTCATGGGTCAAAGAAAGAAGTCAAAAGGAGAATTATTAAGGAAATAATATTTAAAAAGGGACTTATCAAAAGGAATGAAAATGATGGCACAACAAATTAAAATTTGTGGATGTAATTAAAGCAGAAGTTAGAGATTATCTTACTAAATGTGTATATTATAAAAGAAGAAATGTCTCAAGTTTCTACTTTAAGATGAATTAGGAAAGAGAACCAAATAAAATCCAAAGTAAGCAGAAACGAAATAATAAAGATACAGCAGAAATCAGTGAAATGGTAAAGAGAAAAGCAATAATAATAAAACCAAAAACTGGTATTTTGAGAAAATAAAATCAACAAACCTCTTGTAAGAACTGATGAAGAAGAAAAAGAGAGAAGGTAAACATTATCAGTATCAGGAATGAGAGAGGTGCCATCTCAACGGGACATTAAAAGGATATTACAGGAAAACCTATGCCAAACATAATTCAATAATTTAGATACAAATTAATGAACGCCATAAAACTAAAAGTCATCAAGAAGGGATAACCTTGACAGATACGTATCTACTGAGAGTTGAATTTGTATATAAACACCTCACAAAGAAAACTGCAGGCCTAGATGGCTTCATTATGAATTCTACCAAATATGTAAGAGGGAAAAAAAACCAAAAACCAATTCTACACAAACTCTTCCAGAAAAATGAAGAGCAGGGGATGCTCCCCAACTCATCCATGAGGCCAGTGCTACCTTCATATTAAAACTAGAAAAAATATAGTAAGAAATCAAAATTACAGACTAGCATCCTTTATGATGAAGATGCAAAAGTTCTTTTTGTAAAAAAATTTTTATTTTATTACAGAGATGTGGGTATAAGAAAGGATTAACTACATAAGCAGGCTGCACAAAAGTGAAGTTTGGGCTTCTAACTGGCCCTCACGCCCCAGGTAGTGGACCAGGTACCCTTGTGTAGTCAGGGCTCCCACCCTCCTACCTCCCTCTCTCCCCTAGCAGTGTCCAGCAACTGCTAATCTCTCCCTTGTGTTAATGTGACTAATGTTCAAAGCCCACCTATGAGTGAGAATGTGTGGTATTCAGTTCTTTGTTTCTGTGATAGTATGCTGGTCTCTTAACAAAATTTTAGCAAATTGACTCAAACAGTATGTAAAAAAGATACTACATCATGACTATGTGGAGTTTATCCTTGAATAAAGGTTTGCTTATAAGGTTTTCAAATGTTAAACCCTGAGACCAAATAAAGGTTTAATACTGAAAATCAACAATGTATTTCACCATATTTACAGACTTAGAAAAACCATTCTCTCAGTAGATGCAGAAAAGTCTTTGATGAAATCCAACATCTATTTATGATAAAAACTTTCAGCAAACTGGAAGAGGACTGGAAAGAAAACTTTTCAATCAGATAAAGGCAACTAAGGACACTTCCAGCATCTAAATGGTGAGATGCTAGCTGGGCTTGGTGGCTCAGCCTGTAATCCCGCGCTTTGGGTGGCTGAGGTGAGTGGATTGCCTGAGCCCGTGGGTTCAAGACCCACCTGGGCAACTTGGCGAGACCTCATCTCTACAATAAAATCAAAAAACTAGCCAGGCATGGTAGTGCGCGCCTGTAGTTCCAGCTACTTGGAAGGCTGAGGCGGAAGGATCACCGGAGCCCAGCTAATAGAGGCTGCGGTGGCCGGGAGTGGCCACTGCACTCCAGTCTGGATGACAGAGTGAAACTCCAACTCAAAAAAAAAAACCAAAAAAATAAATAAATAAATAAACTAAATGGCGAGATGCTGTAATGACAGGCAAGAGGCCAACAATGTCCACTCATACCACTTCTGCTAGGGCAAGAGGTCCTGAGCAGGGCAGTAAGGGAAGAAAAAGAAGGAAAGGCATCTAGATTGAAAACGAAGAGGTGGAAGTGTCATTATTAGCAGATAACATCACTGTCCATGTCTAAAGTAATAAGATATCCAGCAGTGTTGCATGAGACGACATCAATATACAAAGACCAACCGCATTGCTATACTTCTAAAAAACAATTAAAAAATTGAAAATGGGAAAAAATACACTGAAAGTATCCTCCAAAAGCATGAAATACTTAGAGATAACTGTGACAAAGGTACTGTAAATATCACAGCTTGAGGGCTTACATTATTTTATTTTACTTTTTTTTTTAGAGACTGGGTCTTGCTCTGTTGCGCAGGTTGGAATGCGGTGGCACATCATAGATCACTGCAGCCTTGGATTTCTGGGCTCAAGCAATCTTCCAGCCTCAGTTCCCCGAGTAGTCAGGAATACAGGCACATGCCACTGTGTCTGCTAATTTTGTTATTTTTTGTAGAGATGAGGTCTTGCTATGCTGCCCAGGCTAGTATATTTGATTTTTTTTTTTTTTGAGTTGGAGTCTCACTCACTCTGTCGCCCAGACTGGAGTGCAGTGGCCGCTCCCGGCCACCGCAGCCTCAAACTGCTGGGCTCCGGTGATCCTTCTGCCTCAACCTTCCAAGTAGCTGGAATTACAGGCATGTGCCACCACTCCCGGCTGATTTTGTTATTTTTTGTAGAGATGAGGTCTCGCTGCCGGGGCAGGTCTTGAACCTGCGGGCTCAGGCAATCCACTCACCTCAGCCTCCCAAGGCGTGGGATTACAGGCTGAGCCACCGAGCCCGGCTTGTTTTTGTTGTTTTTGAGTTGGAGTCTCACTCACTCTGTCGCCCAGACTGGAGTGCAGTGGCCGCTCCCGGCCACCGCAGCCTCAAACTGCTGGGCTCCGGTGATCCTTCTGCCTCAACCTTCCAAGTAGCTGGAATTACAGGCATGTGCCACCACTCCCGGCTGATTTTGTTATTTTTTGTAGAGATGAGGTCTCGCTGCCGGGGCAGGTCTTGAACCTGCGGGCTCAGGCAATCCACTCACCTCAGCCTCCCAAGGCGTGGGATTACAGGCTGAGCCACCGAGCCCGGCTTGTTTTTGTTGTTTTTGAGTTGGAGTCTCACTCACTCTGTCGCCCAGACTGGAGTGCAGTGGCCGCTCCCGGCCACCGCAGCCTCAAACTGCTGGGCTCCGGTGATCCTTCTGCCTCAACCTTCCAAGTAGCTGGAATTACAGGCATGTGCCACCACTCCCGGCTGATTTTGTTATTTTTTGTAGAGATGAGGTCTCGCTGCCGGGGCAGGTCTTGAACCTGCGGGCTCAGGCAATCCACTCACCTCAGCCTCCCAAGGCGTGGGATTACAGGCTGAGCCACCGAGCCCGGCTTGTTTTTGTTGTTTTTGAGTTGGAGTCTCACTCACTCTGTCGCCCAGACTGGAGTGCAGTGGCCGCTCCCGGCCACCGCAGCCTCAAACTGCTGGGCTCCGGTGATCCTTCTGCCTCAACCTTCCAAGTAGCTGGAATTACAGGCATGTGCCACCACTCCCGGCTGATTTTGTTATTTTTTGTAGAGATGAGGTCTCGCTGCCGGGGCAGGTCTTGAACCTGCGGGCTCAGGCAATCCACTCACCTCAGCCTCCCAAGGCGTGGGATTACAGGCTGAGCCACCGAGCCCGGCTTGTTTTTGTTGTTTTTGAGTTGGAGTCTCACTCACTCTGTCGCCCAGACTGGAGTGCAGTGGCCGCTCCCGGCCACCGCAGCCTCAAACTGCTGGGCTCCGGTGATCCTTCTGCCTCAACCTTCCAAGTAGCTGGAATTACAGGCATGTGCCACCACTCCCGGCTGATTTTGTTATTTTTTGTAGAGATGAGGTCTCGCTGCCGGGGCAGGTCTTGAACCTGCGGGCTCAGGCAATCCACTCACCTCAGCCTCCCAAAGTGCGGGATTACAGGCTGAGCCACCGAGCCCGGCTGTATATTTGATTTTAAGATTCATTTATAAGGCACTTGTTATAAAGACAGTATAATATTGACATGAAGACAGACATATAGAACAATGGAACAGAAGGAATTCTAGAAATAGACCCACACATATGGCCAACAGAATTCTCACAAAGTTGCCAAGCTAATAAAGTAGGGCAAAGAATAATCCTTTTAACAAATACTGCTGAACAACTGCACAACCATATATAAGAAAATGAGCCATGACACTTACCTTAGACTGCAAATGAAAATTAACTCAATATAAATTCAAACCTACATGTAAAATCAGAAGTACAGAACCTACAGAAGTCAACATGACTTAAGGGTTGGCCAGTAGTTCTTAAATAGAACACAAAGAACATAAACTAAAAAGAAATAGGATAATAAATTGGACTTCATCAAAATTTAAAACTTCTGTTCTTCAAAAGACACTGATATGATAATGCAAAATTAAGTCACACATGAGAGACAACATCTGCAAAAATGTATCCAAAATACTTGTTTCTAGAATATTTTAAAACTACTTACATTTTAGTATTAAGAAGATAAATAACCTAACAAAACTGAACAAAGAAATTGAATGGACTTTTTACCACAGAAGATACACAGATGGCAAATAAACACATAAGATGTTGAACATCATTAGTAATCACAATGAAAGCACCATGATGCCACTACCCACCCACTAACAACACAATGTTGGCAAGATGTAGAGAAAGTGCTATTTTTCTACACTGCTGGTGAGAATGAAAAAGAGTCTGATCACTTTGGATACAATTTTGCAGTTTATTAAGAAGTTAAACATGCACCTACCATTCTGCTCCTAGGTATTTGCCCATTAGAAGTGAAGGCACATGTCCACATAAAAACTTGTATATGAATATTCAAAGCAGATTTATTTGTAATTAGTCTAAAACTGGAAAGAATCCATCCTTTTATCAATCTTTTACTACAGGTGAATGGATAAGCAAATTAATACTTCAATAATAATAATAAAAAGGTACAAACTATGTCTATCTGCAACAGCACAGGTGAACCTCAAAATAATTATTATGAAAGAATACAGACAACAAGGGTACCTACCATATAATTCTATTTACATAAAATTCAGGCAAATGCAAACAGTAATCTATAGTGACAGAAGGAAGATCTGTGTTTGCTTGAGGGAGGTTAGGGTTACAGAGAGAATGAGGGAACTTTGGAAAGATGGATCTTTTATTATCTTGATAGTGGTGATGGGTCCTTGGGTATATATATGGGTCACAACTCATTAAATTATACACTTCAAATATGTGTAATTTATTGTATCTCAATTATACTTAAACAACTTGGTTTTAAAAAATACAAATAAAATACCTCAACTTCAAGGTCCTGGCGCTTGGGATTGTGAATGAAGAAAGTGAAATTTTCCTCCCAAACAGGTTCATTGGTTTTGTACCGAATCTGGAAGAAATATCCAAATATCAGCTCCATAATATTTTCTGTGGAAAAAGGCTGCCAATACAATGATCATTCATTTAATATGTTTGGAAGCTTAGGATGATTTTAAATTCTAAGACTATTTACTGAGCATGTAGTATTATATATTAATTATAAGAAGTGTTAAAAAGATGGAGAGAGGATACAAAGTTTTTAGAGCATGTCAGTGAAATTAACTGTTATGAAGCTCCAAACAATATGGCTACTGGTAAAGACTTCACGATCATGGTTTAGTCTCAGTTCTGCTAGTTCCTTAGTGCCTAGGGTGGTGCAGAACAAGCATCTTAAGCTATTAACAATTAAAAGTAAGCAGTGGTCTGCAACTTTGAATAATTTCTAAAATATTTCTTCTCACGTCTGGAAAATAGAACTTATTATAGCAATAGCATTACCCTCTTTTCAATTCTTGAATCTAGCTACAATGCTTGAGTTTTAAGCACTGCTGCTTATTAAACAAAATATTTATACAAGCTCAAGAGAAACTTAAGAATTTGCCCCATGTATCTACCCATGAAATAAAGCAAAAGTATATTTGTATATTATTTTTTTAAATGAACAGTATACTTGTTACCAAATTAAGTAGCTGGTCATCCATCAAATGACTGATTTAAAGGGAAAAAAGGACATGAAATGTCATGGTTGCGATGCCTGCACTATCACATGACTCAAAGACATCCGCAACCTAGCACTTCCCACCTAAGACAGCAACAGTGACAAAGATGAGACTGTGTGAGACAATCAAGTCAAGAGGCCAGCACTTTACCTTGCTCTCCTGGGCCTTGTGCCCAACCGACATCTGGACAAGAGGATTTGGGTTGCTGTTTATTTTCTTCCCTGACTACCCAAAAATAAACAAACAAAAACAGACAAAATAAATAAACACATTTTAAAATAGATCTTACTAAAAATGAAACTACTGGCTTATATTAAGTAGTCATTTCTGTTTACCTCTCATACTTAAGGAAATATCTGGGAACAATTTTATTGGAAAACATTTGCTAAGTATACCCCAAACCATAACTGTGTGTCCCATAAAGTAAATTAAGAAAACTTCCATTTGCACACAATTTTTAAATGTTAAAGTCTTCTATTTTTAAAGTAAACTACTTTGGAAAATTGACTCTTCTGAAAATCTTTAATGTTAATCACAGTTATCAAAATTTATTTTATTTACCAGGATAACAAAAACGAATAAAGTGCAATGTATGGAAACCAAAAACCACAAAGAAAGACAAATGTAAAAGGATGTATAATTCAGAGTATGTCTCTGGTTGGAATAAAAACACTACAAAGTATCCAATACATAGTTTTACATTCTTAACTTAGTTATCTTCTGTACAAGCATACATGACTTTCAGACATCAAATCTTGCTTACCAGCTGCTAAGTAATTTTGACTGGAAGAATAAACATCAGTTTAGAATAAACTAAGCAGATATAAATATAATGAAAAAATTAGGAAATGAAAAAAATGGCAAGAAGCATACTTTAGCACAGATAGCTGAAGAAAACATACTAAAACAGTACATACATGTGACATGAGGTTTATTTATAACTTAGCCCCACAAGAAGATGCAGTTAAATGTCTGTGTTAGTGGAAATTAATTAGAAAGTCACAAAAATGTTTTTTAGTTAAATAATTTTAGAGGCAATCCTCAACACTGCAGCAATGACAAAAATAGGGTCAAAATTATTATTGGAAAAATTTTACTAGCTCAAACCTACTGCGATAATCTATTTTCTGGTTCATCTTTATGATGTGAATGAATTCTGCAAAATGAAATAAATACTGTTAAAAAAGTTTTTGATGCTATAAACTACTGAGGCAATGAATACTAATTTCCCCTAAACCCATTTTCTCCTTCTTCCATTAATATTAGAACCCCCAAGTTTTAGGCGAGCACAATGCTCTGTAAGTATTCTATGTCCAAGCCTCCCTCGCAGCCAGGAGTGGCCAGTAACTAAGTGCTAGTCTTAAAGGAGGGTGTGTGCCCTCCCCCGCTGATGAAGTGGGAGCTATCTGTTAGGCATGGCAGAGCCACAGGAGAAAACTCTGTTACACAAGGGAGATAAACAGCTTGTATAGCTCAAGCTACTGATGCTTTTGGGTCGGTTCTAGTACTATAGATTACAAAGCTGCACTTGTTTCTTAACTAATATTTCATCTCTGAAAAAGTGGCCATCCATTCCTAGAGATTTACTGCATCTTTTCAATCTTTTTTTTTTTTTTTTTTGAGTTGGAGTCTTACTCTGTCACCCAGACTGGAGTGCAATGGCTGCTCCTGGCCACCGCAGCCTCGACCTGCTGGGCTCCAGCGATCCTTCTGC